CTCCTGCTTACATCTACCCAACCTACCAGAGCAGGAAAGCAAAGAGGTACATCTAGTCTAGTGGGACCAAGAAGAAGGGCCTTCTCTGTGATGGATCCCTTCCCGTGGAACATCATCCCCGCAGAAATAAGATTTCCCCCCACTCTGATCCACTTTGGAAGGCCCTGAAGACCTGGTTTTGCCAATGGGCCTGTGGAACCCGGCAGTGGGAGAGAACCCTTCAAGTGGCTTATTTGATTAACTGTCGTCACCAAGAGGGTGAGGAATTATTGCTTTTTATTGTTTTACATTAGGTTTTTATCTTTGTAAGCTGCCCGGAGTCATTGAGAGTAAATTGGGCAGCCATATACATTTTCTTAAATAAATAAAACTTTCTAAGACAATGTAAATAGCTATAACTGGATTGCAGAAAACCAAAGATTTACAGATGTATTGCAATGTTAAGGCATGTGGACATTAATTCCCAGAATTCCTCAACCAGCATGGGAATAAACATATCTTGAAATTGCTGAGGTTGAGAAACACTGGATTAGAGAATGAGGCATGAGAGAGAAGTGTGCTGGACAAGTATGCAGATAATCTGAGTAATGCTTTTTGATACTAAAAGTCCTTTAGAAAAACAATATTGTTCCATAGTAGAAGACTCACAGTATAAATCCTAATTAAATAATCTGATTGCAAGCACTAGAGAAAAATGCTGCCTAATCACAGAAGCTGCTGCCAGAATAAAGACTAGCAGGATGATTACACAATCTAACTTGGAGGAAGATAATTTCCTATTTACAACACATGTATGTATCTTCTTTCCTCTGGAGTGGCTATAGGTTTGGGGACTGCAAGCTCACATCCACTGACTAGGTTCATACATGTAGGTGTAATGACGTTTGCTTAGGTTTTGCACAATGTACGAACCCATTCATTGTGAGTTAGTCAACAGACAGTTCATAGCTTGGATGAAATGAATAAGCTGTAGGAGAAGAGCAGGCTGAGCTGCAAGGTGGAGTTAAACATGTCATCAGTTTGGAATCACTGCGTTGCCACAACAGACCCAAGTCCAGCCTCCAGTGAATTCCACTGACCCTTATTATTGAGTGCCAATTTAGCTTTGACCATTAATTGATTTGATTCTTGTGTATAGGTAGTGATAATAAACTGTCCCATGCTTTGAATTCAATGACTGCTCCTGGTTATTTGCACTTGACATTAGCCCAATGTGAAACCCATTAGCTATGTGAAATCCAGTCATTCCATCTTTCTCACCTACACACAGACCTGCCCTAAAAGTTGAGACATACATTTAGATGCTTCAAGTAATAAGATATTCACTATTCCAACAGCTTTTCATCTTCACTAAGAACTGCTAAATCTATCAGCGTTCAGTTATTAAACTCATAACTATATGACTCACTTTGATAACTATACAATATCCATATTCTTGCTTTGTGCTTCGTAAACCAAGAAATATTGGCATTAACAAGATCTAGAAAGGAGGCAGTCAAAGAAATTGCACAATCTGAGCTTCTGTCTTGGACTGCCTACACCCAAGAACCAAGCAAGCAATAGCAGCTTCCCAGAACAGGTGGGACACCATTAAATCTTTGTATCATCTGACTCTTTCTAAAATATAAGCAGAAATTAATGGAGCAATTTCTTTCATGGCCAATGAAATGATAATGAAATGATGACAGTAAACCAGGGACTTTCCTTAAAAGGTAAATGTTCCCCTCACACATATGTGCTAGTTGTTCCCCATTCTAGGGGGTGGTGGTCATCTCCATTTCAAAGCCGAAGAGCCAGCACCATCTGAAGACATCTCTGTGATCATGTGGCCGGCATGACTAAACACCGAAGGCTCACAGAATGCTGTTACCTTCCCACCAAAGGTGGTTCCTATTTTTTCTACTTGCATTTTTACATGCTTTCAAACTGCTAGGTTGGCAGAAGTTGGGACAAGTAACAGGAGTTCACTCGGTTACGCGGCACTAGGGATTTGAACCACCGAACTGCCGACCTTTCTGAATGAGAAGCTCAGTGTCTTAGGCACTGAGCCACCACGTCCTTACTGGAGTCCACATTCAAGACTTTCAGAACCTTCTAAAAACAATCATTTATTTCACTGTTTTATTTGAAGGCACATGTTCACAGCCCATTCTGTGTTTGCAGACTTACACCAACACATTTAGCCGCCCTGCCTGCACAAAAGTGAGATGTCTATGTCATGCCCTTTACTTAAAAAAATGGAGGAAAAAAAATATCAACATTTCTGTGGACTGACCTACTGTCCTCTGTCCTTTGCCTTAAAGAGAGGCTGCCAAGGATGACCTCATGCCATAGCAACAGCTTCCCTCCCGCTAGCCAAAGAACCTTGCTTCTTTCCATCTGCACGTCCTCTCACTCTAATAAAGGAAAGTCCTTTGGCAGCAAAACACTGCGCTGTCTTCCTTTCTACTGCAGTTTTGAAAAGAGGAGCAGAAGACAGCCTTTTGATTGTCCTCTTTTTGTGGTGGCTGTTAAGCCAATTTCTTCCTTTGCAAATTTTCTTTCTTTACCTGCACCATGTCACAGTTGAACTGGGCTAGGAGGAGGCTCCACTTGGAGAAGTCTTCCACTCCTGTGCTGCTTTCTGCGCAGGGCTTCAGCTCCACTACTGTGCCTGGTTTGGTGTTTTTGGTACTCTCTTTCCAAGGGGATGCAGCAGCAGTGCTTGCAGTCTAGGAAGGAGAGAGAGAGAGAGAGACAGAGAGAGAGAAGACAGAATGAAAAAGTGAGCTTTCTTGGATTTGGCCGGAATCAGATAGAAGTAATTATGACTTAACTGACCTTTGGTTCCAAAACCAACATTGGTTTGGGTACGAAATGGCAATGCTGAGCTTTAATTGCCCGACCCTAAAAGTGAGTATTGCTGAAAAGATGCTCAGCTTTGTATTAAGTCTTCTTTACCACCCGCTTGAAGTTTGTTCCATTCCTTCGAATGTGCAGCTGATCCAACAGCAGTATGGGGTGCATGTGTGAGACTTGAAGGCACTTCACATGGCCCTGTTTTCTTTATCCAATCCCTCCCAAAGATGCTTTTTAAAAGGCAACTGGACTTTCTTCTTTTTCTTTGAAGACATTTCGCTTCTCATCCAAGAAGCTTCTTCAGCTCTGACTGGATGGTANAATATGCTGACTCTCTGTAAACCGCTTAGAGAGGCCTGAAAGGCCTATGAAGCGGTATATAAGTCTACTGCTATTGCTATTGCTATTGCTCTGTAAACCGCTTAGAGAGGGCTGAAAGGCCTATGAAGCGGTATATAAGTCTACTGCTATTGCTATTGCTATAGAAGTGGAGGGTCTGTGGAAGGTCCCCACAGGGAATCAGGGTGGGGAGGGGCCCCTGTGGCCCCTGAGACCACCTTCAGGGAGGGAGGGAGGGAAAGAGGAGAGGAGAGGAAGGAAATAGGAAAGGGAAGGCAGAGGGGAGGGAGAAAAAAAAGAAAGAAAAGAATGAAAGAGAGAAAAAGAGGAAGAAAGGAAGAAAGAAAGATGAAGGGAGGGAGGCAGAAATAAAGAAGGAAGGAAGAAGAAGAAAGGGAGGGAGGGAGAAATGAAGGAAGAAAGAAAAGAGAAGAGAAGAGAAAAGAGCCAGACGGCCTGGTTAGCCACAAGGAAGCAGACTTTTTCATTCTCTTCCTTCTCGGCGCATCAAAGCTCCTCGTAAAAGTTTTACAGGGAAGATATCGGAGGAGAAGCTTCTGTAGGAAATGCGCAGATGCCAAGCGGCAGCCTGGATGCCCCCCCCTTCTCCCCCCACCCACCAGCACTCTGCTTCTCTGTCATCCCACACTGAGTTGGTGGGGGGGGGAGGCTTCCACCCAGCACCCTTTCTTGGGGGGGAAGGAAACGATGCTGGGGGTCAACCTCCTGTATTTACCCCTGGGGGGAGCAGATGGGGCAGAAGGGGGAGGGCTTGGAAGCTTAGTTGTGTGTGAGTGTCACACTGGAGGGGAGCAAGGGATGAGAAGCCCCGAGTGGGACACTTAAGAGCATCACTAGCATTTTTATTTTTATTTTATTTTGCATTTCATAGCGAACAACTCCAGCGTCCCAGCATTAAAAGGATAAAAAACCTAACAAAAAGAACTCCGAAGAGAACAGATCTAGCTCTTCCAATGTCTTTCTCACCAATAGTCCTCGGCTTATGACTGGGCACTGTTGGGAGTTCCGGCGGACCTCCCTGGGGGTACTTATAAGCGGATTCCAAGGTTCCAACAGCGCCCTCCCGAGGGCAGGTTGTGTGACTGCAGCCTCAGCCGCTTCCTCTCCAAAGGCGGCGAATCCCGGTTGGCTGGGGCTGCAGAGCCTTNCTTGGCAACTTTAAGACTTGTGGACTTCAACTCCCAGAATTCCCCAGCCAGCATTCGCTGGCTGGGGAATTCTGGGAGTTGAAGTCCAGACATCTTCAAGTTGCCAAGTTTGGGAAACACTGTGTTTATTGTAACATTTATTTTCTTAACTTGTTTAACTTTATAATACCTTATTTTCCTATTTAACTTCTAACCATTGATAAAATAACTCCCATATATTACAGTAATCAGATTCTTCCTTTCCTTTAATTGCAAGTGTTAATCCATTCGTTTCTGCACATTCTAATATTTTCTTAACCACCTTTTCATCTGTGGGGATCTCCTCACCTTCCCAGTGTTGTGCAAATACAATTCCAGCTGCAATTATTACACGAATAATCAAATGCATGTTGTCTTTACTATATTTTTTCCGGCACGATACCCAACACGAACAGTTCAGGTTTTAAATCTATACGTTGCTGTCGGGTTTTGTGATTGAGATGCCTGTTTCTGGGCAGGAAAAGATCCTTCAATATTTTAACGGCTGTTGCCAGATTCCTCTGAGGTCACATAGGGGTCACGGCTGGCTCTACTGGCAAAAAGGGAAATGCGAATCCTAGGTGTTGCTCTGGGCTAATCTTGTCAGCTTTGGCTCCTTGCCTAACGGGTTGCTTATTTGGAGTTTCTGGCTGCCCTTTCCTTCTGAATAGAATGGCCCAGCCTTCCTTCCTTCCTAAAGTCTAGGGTTGGCGAACCTTTTCAGCACTGAGTGGCGAAACGGGAGCGTGCTTGCGTGCCGGAAACAGGAAGAGCAGCTGCCTGGTGCGCATGTGCATGCTGGGTGGCTACTCTTCCGGTTTCTGGCACGTGTATGCCCACCGGTCACCTGCTCTTCCGGTTTCTGACACACATGCGCAAGCAAAGACCAGCTGGCTGGTGCGAATGCGTGTGCTGGAAACAGGAAGAACATGCGCACCGGGCAGCTTCTCCTCCGGTTTCCGGGGCTCCCGTGCGTGCGAAAACCAGCTGGCCAGTGCGCTGCGACCCAGAGGGGAACGGGCGATGGTTCGCGTCCCCAGAAGGGGGGCTCTGCATGCCCCTTCCGGCAGGCATGCCACAGGTTCGCCATCCCGGATGTAGCCTCTCCCTGCTTCTGCTGGAGGCTGTTTCCCTCTAGCGGGAGGGCTGGGGGCTGCTTTCTGCCTTTAAGAAGATGTCCCTCCTCTTCTCCTTCCGGGCAAATATTCTCCTCTGCCTCTTTTGAATGCGAAGAGTGAAGAATATTATATTCTGGGGAGGGGAGGCTTCGTTCGGGTGCCTCGGAGGACGGCCGGGGCAGCCCCTCAAATACGGGAAGACTGCTCTCCTGTCCCCCTCCCCCCCCCTGGTCCTTCCCTCCATTAGGTGAGACGTCCCCCGTTCCTGTAAGGCTCCTCCGTGTGTTTCGAGCTGAGCGTGTGCCGGAGCAGACCCTGTCATTATCTCAAGCCCTGATTGCAGAGGGTCTGCGGTTGGGGCACCATCCAGACTTTAAACAAAGGCTGGGAAGAAGCCGCTTGCTGTCAGGAAAGCTGAGACTGTTTACTATGCAGTTCCAACAGGCTGGATTCCTTCCTGCACGGGCAGATTTTCTCCTAAGAGGACTGGAGTGTGGCTGACCACAGGCATGGGGAGCTGCTCCAGATTGGGGGGGGTGACCCTCTTAGATAAGGAGCCTTTCCTGTGACGCCTGGACTCCCCTCTATGTGGGCTCTGGGTCAGTAATTGCAGGGGGGGACCACGGGGTCCTTGGTGCTCTCTGAGCTTGATGGTCGTCTTGCAGACGTTTCCTGACCCAGTTAGGTAACATCATCAGCACTAGAAGGGAGGAGGAAGAGGAGGACAACTGGGGCGTCCTTGGTGCTCTCTGAGCTCCGTTTGTTTACTCGCAGACGTTGCATAACCCAACTAGGTAACGTAATCAGTGCTGGGGCAATGGGGTTTGCTCTCTCAAATGGCAGCCCGGTCTCTTCTTGAAACCCTTCCAGGGATGAAGCTCCCACAACGTCTGAAGGCAACTTGACAACGAATTGATTGTTCTCCCTGTCAGAAAATTTCTCCTTAATTCCAGGTTGCCTCCCTCTTTGGATCAGTTTCCATCCATTCTTCCTTCTCTGGCCTTCAAAGGTGCTTTGGAGAATAGCTTGACCCCCAACTCCTCTCTGTGAAAGCCCCTCAAACACTGGAACGCTGCTCTCCTGTCCCCCCCTGGTCCTTCTCTTCCCTAGACCAGCCAGGCCCAGTTCCTGCAGCCGTTCATTGGATGTTTGAGCCTCTGGTCCCCACATCTTCCTGGCTAGCAATAGCAATAGCAGTTAGACTTATATACCGCTTCATAGGGCTTTCAGCCCTCTCTAAGCGGTTTACAGAGTCAGCATATCGCCCCCACA